ACGAGTAGGAGTAATTTTATTCCCCCCTTTTCCCCATGTAACTTCCTTGTTGAGCTTTGCTCCTTGATTCGTATGGATCTCTAATAATAGACCTGCTTTTCAAAAAAAAATAAAGATAAGAAAGTCATCTCAAGTACATTGACACTACGAATGAGAAAAGGAAAAGACAAATTTATTTCCTTTTACAATCAAGCATTTAAAAAGCGTGGCGAAAATAATGAAAAGAATCAAATGGTCCTAATTGCTAACATCCAACGGAGAGGTCAGTCATAAATGGTCCCGAGAATGGGGCTAATGAACATTTTATTATCTATCTAATAAAACAAAAGGGTGTGGGGACCACACAAATACAAGTTGAAAGAAGGACTGAGATTCATTTGATCCAAGGGCTGATGTGTGCTCTCCAACTCTCTTAAGAAAGCACCCACACTCTTACAAATATATTACAAAAATGCCATCGGTAATTTTTATCCACTGCCCGGCTTCTGGCGTTGTCATAAAAAAACAAAAATATATATTACAAAAATGTCTGTGCCTACGGCACTACAGGGGTGCGTAGTGCCGTAGGCACGGGTAAGCACTAGTCTACCTAATAAAACACAAGAGTGTGGGGACCACACAAACACAAGTTGTTGGAAGGGCTAAGATTCATTTGATCCAATGGTTGATGTAAGCTCTCCTACTCTCTTAAAAAATCACACACACTCTTACAAATATATTACAAAAAACGCCATCAATTTGAACCACTATCAAGATTCAAAGGATAACTCAAATTCTAATCGGGGTGGGTCCAAAAAAAACCAGAAAGGTTGTCGTCGAAGCCAGAATTGTAGTACTATGGATATGGACACAACAACGTTGGCTCAATATCAATGTGGGTCGTGGGCGATAACATTTAAGACTACCTCGTCCTTTTTTCCTTTTTTTTTTTTTTAATTCACGGTGTTCAGCTTATCTGCATCTTGATTAATTTTCAAGAGATCAATTTCACATTCTACTAGCGGGTGGTCCATTAAAAGTTGGAACAATGTACCTTATGAATAGCCAATTAGATCTTGATGACACCTATGATGTTTCGAACTTGCAACATCTGAAAGAACCATACTTCAAAATCTCAGGCCTTGACTAGCAACTAGATCGACCTTATAGTTTTGAGTAACTTCAATCAAGCTCTATAATGCTCCAAATCTCCATATTGAGGGACGGGAGATTTTGTAACTTTAACTTTTTGTACTTTATAGAAGAATTTTAGAGGGACTCATAGTATTTTTAAAAAATTTAATTAGTTTCCAAAATGGAGGTGAGGTCTCCATTTTCGGAGACCCCAAAGTAAACATGGAGTCCAAATCTCTAAAAAGGATGACGTGTTCCTCCAAAATTCTTTCAATAAGTAAAAAAAAAATTAAAGAAAAAAGGGGATACATTAAAATTTTCACCCAACATAAAAATTTGGAGTAATAGTGCTTGGTTGGAATTGCTCTATAGGAGTGTAGGGACCACTTTTTTTTTTTTTTTTTTCCTTTTTTGGTGGTGGTGGTGGTGGTCCGCTTTGTAACTATGTTTTAAAGGAGATAGATACTTACCAAAATTTTCTTCCTCCTCTTTGAAAGACCCAAACACAATAATGTTCCAAGCCATTTGTGGTAGCAGTATCCTAATCCATCCATTTCAAACTAAAATTTCAAGTTAAAAAAAAAAAAAAACACACACACACACACAAAAAATAATTAAAAAGTTTGAGAAATACATGGCACATAAAAAGGTCACATCGATGATCTATCCAAACACAATAATGTTCCAAGCCATTTGTGGTAGCAGTATCCTAATCCATCCATTTCAAACTAAAAACATAAAAAGGTCACATCGATGATCGATCCAACGAACACAATAAACTTACCATTTTAGACGGGTTGTGAGAGCATTTGCATTGGATTCTTTTAGAATATTGTATATTATGTTATCTTGTTTGTTATGTGAAAAAAGAGATATATACAAGTTGATTTTTGTATTTTGTGTATTCAAGAATTTCATATTGAAGAAAATGATTATGCATATATTGTACATTAGATGCGTCAAAGGTGTGTGTGTGTGTTTTTTTTTTAACCACGGAAAGAGACGAATTTATTAACAAAAAAACCGGTCAAAGGACCGAACATCATCCAAAGCAAGATTAGCTAGCTAATGGGGGACAGGACCCCCCCAATTTTCTAGTCTAATCCCTAATAGGGAACGCTTAGCCAACGAATGGGCTACCCTATTACAAGAACGATTAACATCCACGAAAGTATAAGAGGAAAATAATGGCAGAAGAACTAAGCAATCCAAGAGAAAAGAACTACAATCCGCAAAAGATTTTTCCTGCTTGAGTAAGTGCTTGAACAACTTGGAGAGAATCACCCTCCACAACAATTTTTGGAAGGCCTCTATTAGCTACAAAGACCAAAGCTTCCCGGAAGGCCATGGCCTCAACAGCTCTTGGGGAGAAAAACCCAATAAAAGGGATGGCCACCATGCTCATGACAATCTGCCCCCAAAGATCACGAGCCACGATGCCGACCCTAACTGAGCCTTTTTCCCTGTGAACGGCCCCATCAACATTAAGTTTTATCACATTAGCAAGAGGTGGACGCCACATAGGAATGCTTTCGGAAACAGTAGAGCTTTGGAGAGAGTGATCATCAACCATAGCAGCCTTAAATTCAGTACAAAGAGTAGAAGCCTTTTCCAGAATCATAGTATTATCCCAGCAAAGGCCATCAAAATACACTTGATTTCTTGCCTTCCAAATAAACCAGCAAATAGAAACAAAAAACACACCCATATCCACCAATGTATCAGACGCATAAGAATTATGGGGGAACGAATTCCACCAATCGATAAACCGAAAGGAATTCCACATAGAAGAAACCACATAGCTAAACGGTTGTGTTAAAGTGTGTTATAAAGTGGCATCATTCATTCGAAAATCACATCTAGATGAGATCGTGATCTCATCTTCAATTTTTATTTTGACTTTTGGGGTGTTTGAGAGCCGTTATGCATTATAAAAAAATTGACTAGAAAATGCAGAGTTCGAAAATCAATCCAGATATCAAACACACATAAAATTCCTCTACACAATCTATTCTGTATATATCTTTTAAACACTTTTACACATTCCAACCTTGACTTAAGAATTTATAGTCTAAAATTTTAAATTCATAACTAAAAGATAATAAACTCCCAAGCTCCACATAGAGTCTTACTGAGGAATAAACAAAACTACATAGGCTCATCGAATTTGTCATTTATGTAAAAAATTAGCTTTATCGAACATCGGTAGATACATGATCGAATCAGATTTGTACATGAAAAATATGGAAAATTTAAGTTTTGAATTATATTTTCCATCCCATTTTTCATGTACAAATTTGTTTTGATCATGTATATATATACCAATGTTTGATCAAGCTAATTTTTTACGTGAATGACCAACTCGACGAGCTTTACAAAATGAACGATTCCAATAATCGTTGTGGGTCTGGGATAGGCCAACGAAAGCCCAAACTGGACTGGGATGCTAATAATTTCTCTCCCAAAAAAAAGAAAGAAAAGGACAGACTCCGATGCTTAGCTATATATGTCAACACACTATGCACGTGATTTGTGCGTAATTGTGGACCACCAAGACACCAAACATATGCTCCAAACTAGGCTTTGTTTGTATCCATTGTGATTTCCAAGACCACCATCTTACCAAATCCAGTTCTGTGAGCTAAATGATTGATACTAGGGATACTATGGGCATGTAGATTGTGTACGAAACAATTTGGATCACTCATGATTTTGCATACTATTTGTTTCCCAAAAATTTTATTGGCAATGTATATATATATTTTTTGGAGTCCGGACCAGCTTACGTGCATCTCAACCAATCCTTTCTCTAGTCCGGTCAAAGGCAAGCCATTACCGTCAGGATTGGGAAATTCACAAGAAATTATTTTCTTGCGACCTAATTCCCAAAATCGTCAATTGTGTGTGGATTGAGCGAACCCAACGACCATTTGGACTTACCCTTGAGGCTGGCATGTATGATACTAGGAGGCTACAACACACGAGTGACCAGTGGTAAACAGGGCCGACCCGTTGAATTATTGTATAAAAACTCATAACATCTGCACATATATAGGTTCCTAGCTAGGCTCCTGACATCAATCTTGGGTTCATACTTATAATATTTATATGCAAAATAAACCTCTATGCAAATGCTGTAAATTTGAAAGATTTGCGTGGTGATCCCTAGGTTGTAGTATGTTCAGTCGTTAACTCCTCAGGCCACATCTTCAACTAAGGGAGTACTATTATCATGCCATATCTTCACCTTCCTTGTCCAAGAAAATTAAGAGTTAATAACAAATTTAAGTCACTTCGCTCGCATGACTGGACTAGCTATTACCAGGCCATATCCAGCTTTCCTTACACATTCAAGTCTTCGACTATGAAGATATATATCTGCCTATACAATTTACCGTTCATTTTTCTCGTTAACCTATAGGCCAGCTACGGCCATAATGACTTTAACGGCTAGTATCGAACTATTACGAGCCAGGTGATTGAAGGTATTGCGTACGTAGAGCCATACATCGATCGAGGACTCAGTCAAACAAATACATGTACGTATCATAGTACTTCTTCAAACGCTAGCTAGGAGGATTACATTTTCCTTATCATCTGTCATGGCATACCTAAGTAACTAACGGTATGACCGGCCCATAGGAATTCCATTTCATCAAATCCGAACACAGATGCCCTTTGATATGTATAAGTCCCGCGCATGTGCCATTGTTTGGGACTGATGTGTATTGGACAGTTATGTGTCCGGATCGATCTATGTCCAGACATCTATATGTGTTCGTAAACATTGCTCCGAAAAGAAAAGAAAAGAAAAAACCCAAAGTTGCAATATATAAGACTTGAAGTTCTAACATAAATGATTGGAAAAGTAGATGGGGCTAAATTCCGATGGGGTTGGCCTAGTGGTCAAGACATAAGATTTAAGGAATTGTTTTCTCTTAAGGTCTCAGGTTCGAGACCGATCTTAAATGCCATCAATTCTTTTGAAGTCAATCCACACAGAGCGGTGAGATTGGGACCTTGTAGGCCAGTGGAGAGATTGGCACCCCAGAAATAGTCGATGTGCGCGTAACCCGGACACCTGAGTTATATAAAATAAAAAAAAGTAGATGGGGCGGCTAGGTATGTTGATCATGATGCCAGTATTAATTAATTATCTGTGGCTAAGGTACAAGGAAAGCACGTGGTTGGCATTTTATGTTTTCGTTTATCTCCAAGGAAATTAAGCCGATTTCCTTGATCCGTTTTGGTTGATAAATGTCTTATCACTTTCTTGAATAGTAGTAATATTGAATTCAAACTAACATGGCTTGCAATTCCATTGACAGGTAAATTTAATTTTGAGGTTGAAGAATCTAACCTAACAGTCAATACGCTTGAAGCCTTGATCAGTGAGAATAATGGTAAACTAGAGAATGTTAGATTCAATGGAACTGTGTGTGCATGTTTTTCATTTTCAGAATCATTAAAGCTTCAACTGGTTAATTATGGGTTTAGTCAATTGGATTGCGTAGTGGTGTCGGATATAATTGCTCCGATGGTGATATAGCTAGTTGTAGTACTGCTTCAAGTTGGGTATTGATTTATTTTTATTCTCTCTGCAACAATAACAATACTCATTTATTCTGCAACCGCGATCTGGGTACCTACATATGGAGAGCGCAGAAGGCAGACCTAAATTTGACAACACGTACATAACGTGATTAATTGCTCTATTCAGCATTGAAATAGTGGTCCCCATATACCTTCAAAATTCGAGAGATCGATTAAAGGGATGGTATTGCATAAAACTATGCCCTATCAAAACGAAAGACATATCAGATTGGGAAAAGTAAATTAATTTTGGACATATGTAAATTGGATGGTTATTATAAATATAAGTAACTAGTACGTCATTGTTACTAGTATTATTATTATTATTATTATTTTTTTATCACTTTAGAGCTTTAATTTGACACGATCGATCTAATATCAATATTCCGAACGATGAAAATCCCAAGTTACAATGATATATGGTGTCCATAATCAGAATCAGTCCAAAAATAATTTCATGATTTCTCTTTTTTCTTTTTTGTGGACCTCTTTCGGTACCTTTTTCTCTGTGGTCCGTTTGGGGTCTTGTCTCGATGTACCATTTGTCGAGTTTTAATAAAATTTTATTGCCTATCAAAAAATAATAATTTCATGATATTCACGGTTCAATTTGTATAGTTAATTTGATGAGTAGATTAACTATGCAGTAATTCAAGTTAATTTATCAGACATTAATAACTCAATGACCAAAGAACATTGTTTTCGAAACATTCAAAATATATACTCTGTATCATTTTATCGTTTAGCTCTCATTGTCCAATCAACTTGAAATTAATTTGCAAGTTTTTATTTTATTGAACGGAAAGAAATTACTATTAAGCTAGACGATCAACATCGAAAAACAAAGTAGCGTCACACAAGAAATAACAAAAGGCCAAGAAAACCAGCAATCGGTAAAAAGGTGTCCCACTCCCATTTTTGTTGAGGCTACTCTGGCCGATTAATTAGGTTAATTTCCCATTATGCATGTTTATACATTTAGGTTGCATGTTTATATGTTTGAGAGTTGATTTTAAAATGCAATCTATCCCAATACATTTGGAAAAATTTGGAAAAATGAACTGGAGAATGCAGAATTCAAGAATCATCTGAGGAAGACCTTTTGAATTCTGTTATATTTTCATCCACAAATCCTTTTACAAAATTTATTCTGCATATATCATCCAAATATTTTTACGTATTCTTAAATTAGAATCCACAAACCTCTAATCCATAATTTACAATACAGAATCTAACAAGTAATTGGCTACCAAATACCTCTTAATTTATACCGTGAATACACTTTTTTCCTGAATTTTTTGGGGTTAAATGATAGTCTATTCAGCGTTTTAGTCGTGTGTATATATTCAAATTTTTTTGTTGTTGCTCGGCGTGTGTATATATTCAATTAACGTCAAGGGTGATTGGGCACTACAATTAGACCATTCCCTTATCCACGTTTGATTGAAAATTTTCTCTCTCAAAATTTTACCATTATAGAAGTTTTTTTTGTGTGGTAATATTGTATACATCACTGGAGGTTATAGTGGAGAGTTAATAAGTTAGTTTACAGAGGGTTTCAGAAACTATATCCATAGTCTTGAATCCTAAACGCCCATGATGGGGCTCGAACCCTGACCTCCCACACGGGAAGGACTAGGAGATGTCAACAGTGCTAGAGCCCATTGGCGAATAGTCATTTTTCGAATTTCTACCCACAGTTTATGGAACTCAAGCTCGTTTTTCTTATTTGTTTTTCCCCCTAAGAAACAGATTCAACGATAAAACAGTGGTTTTTGACTTTTTGCTTCAACAAGAAAAATGATAGTTGGTGGTTTCGAATAAGACAAAAACTCATATACACAGTAAAAAATTATGAATTCAATTGATGTAATGAAATTGTGCAAAATGTGATGAAATGTCATTCAAAGTTCTTTTTTTGTTGAGCGAAAAAGAGTTTTTATTGAAGCTCGAAGGGATACATCGAGAAAGGAATTGACATGCGTCACCTCCAAGGCAATCACCCCCATGCCTTAGAACAATCATCCCAAAATGTCATACAAAAGTTATGAAGTAAATATTGTTGTTACAAATTTATAATCATATATTATGAGCTTTTACATTTCTTATAGGCTTTTTACCGTGCACACTAAAATTGAAAAAGACAGATACCTAAAGCTATCTTCACAGCAGCAACGACTGCGATTTCATTACCTATTTTTTCAGAGGGGATCGATAATAGGAACATAATAATTCTAAATTAACGAGGCTTAAGCAGTTTGAGATATCGATAAGTTGTTTGGAACGATGGTGATGAAAGGGAAGTCGTTAGTATGACTGCTTAATTATATGGAGGAAATTGACGAACAGCTCTACAGAGCCATCTTGGCCAAGGAGGGAAGGACCGTATATATATATATATATATATATATTAACGAGGTAGAGTTGTTCGGTTTAGTCTTTTGGCTGTGCCTTTTAAGAGGGTTTTTGCCGGCCTCTTGCCAACTTTGTCTTTTGGATTCTAAGCGGCATTTGACTGGCTGAGAATGTGGGTGCCTTTTTTATTTTATTTTATTTTATTTTTTAGTAACCGAGGAATAATCCTGCAGCCGAGTCACTATTGGACCTGACTGCGCAATCCAAACCTCGGGAGAGACTAGCACAGTAACCCACCATCATGGCCCCCCACTTAAATCATGGTGGTTTGTCTCTAGAGGGAATCGAACCCTGCTTTGTTGTAAGCACAGGTTCGCCCTTACCATGTTGACAACCCATGGGTGGGTGGGTGCCTTGTTTATTGTGATGCCATCTCGTCTCAGATTATTTTAATCTTTGTAATCTTTTACGGAATTCATAAATTTTCTTTGTTGCTATTACGAAAAGAGAACACCGTGCACACCAAAATCAAGAGCTAGCGTGTATTGTCTTGTTTTTTAAATTTCTCTTCGTGAAACGTATGAGAGAAAAGTTTCCTTGTTTTTGTGTAAAATAATGTTAGGAAACGAGTAAATTCTAAGCCGTACTACTTTTCCTTTTCATGTCAATTTACAAGTATTCTTCACGTGTAGTAAATGTATAGAGACTAGAACTATCAGAAAAATTCTTGAGAAGAATTGTTCTCTCTCTCTCTCTCTCTCTCCACCTCTCTATATAATCATACCTTGTTCCTCATTCAAGTTCATATCTTTACCATTCCTAACCATCCACAATCTCTCTGAGCAAGAAACAGAAGATGATGAAGAGCCATGTCCAACTCTCCAGCCACACCACCCTGACCCTAATCCCGTTTCACAAACCATTCGTCTACTCCTCCGGCGCAACTTTTCCGCTCCCCAGTCTGAAACCAGCATGGCGCCAAATCCGAATCAACAAACTCATCAAAAGCAAATCTTTTCCGGGATCCATCAAAGCCATAGCGACTTCTGATGAGAAGTCTACTAAGGTTAAGGCAGTTGTTGCGGTCAAGGTGATCGCTGGCGGGTTACTATCGGGCCTCGGGGTAACCGGTGGGCTCGACAAAATCACTGACTTGTTCGGCAAATCCCTCTTGTTGGAGCTTGTTAGTGCTGAGCTTGATCCCAGTAAGTAGTTACTTCGCATTTCTAGCATTGTTATATTTCTTTCACAATTTTTTTTCCTCTTCATTTAAAACTTTTGTTTTTCTTGCAGAAAACTTACGTTTGATATATTTTTACTTATAGTTCCATACTTTATTTTCTAAGAACTTAATTAATTTCAACCGTATGCAAAATATTACTCTTTCCGTCCCCTTTTTTAGAATCTAGTATTCATTTTTGGTTGTCTCTTAATAAATGTCTATTTTGTAAAGTTAGTGGTTTCATTTTGCACCTAAAAGTAGATTTCATTTTGAAAAATTTGTGAATAAAAATGTAATGATAATGTTTCCATAGAGGGTAAAAATAGAGAAGTAACTTTTAGAGTGTAATGATGATGTCTGTATAAAAAGTTGAATTTACGAAGTGAGACTCTTAAAAAGGGACAGAGGGAGTATATTGATTTCAACAATTTTGTATTGTAGTAAGTTGAGAATACAGTAGTATTTAGGTTTTTTGTTGGGTTATAAAAACTAGCATCATTATTCAAAGATAAAAAACACTAAACCACACCCCCCCCCCCCTAATTTTGTACAAAATCATAGAAGAAAACAATATCGATCACCATTGGAGCTGTTGTCTTTCCATTACATGAACATATATAACCTAGTTACCTAAAGGGTAAAATAGTAAACGATTTATTCTTCTTAGTTTCGTCTTTTAACCTAATTTTGTGCAAAATCAAAGAAGAAAACAATATCGATCATCATTGGAGATGTTGTCTTTCCATTACATGAATATATATAATTTTTTGCAAAATCAAAGAAGAAAACGGTTATTGTAAAATTACA